CTGAGACAGTGTGTTGTTCTGTTGTTCCTCTACTAACTGTGCCAGTGTGTTGTTCTGTTGTTCCTCTACTAACTGAGACAGTGTGTTGTTCTGTTGTTCCTCTACTAACTGAGACAGTGTGTTGTTCTGTTGTTCCTCTACTAACTGTGACAGTGTGTTCTGTTGTTCCTCTACTAACTGTGCCAGTGTGTTGTTCTGTTGTTCCTCTACTAACTGTGCCAGTGTGTTGTTCTGTTGTTCCTCTACTAACTGTGCCAGTGTGTTGTTCTGTTGTTCCTCTACTAACTGAGACAGTGTGTTGTTCTGTTGTTCCTCTACTAACTGTGCCAGTGTGTTGTTCTGTTGTTGTACCTGTTGCAGAAGTGGCCTAAGAGGAAGAGGAGTATCAGGGTGAGTCAACCAAATATACTATATCAACTCTAGTGTACTAACACCCCTATTTAATCACTTATGATCCAAACCTCACAGTTAACCCTAACCCTAATATACTATATCAACTCTAGTGTACCAACACCCCTATTTAATCACTTATGATCCAAAACTCACAGTTAACCCTAACCCTAATATACTATATCAACTCTAGTGTACCAACACCCCTATTTAATCACTTATGATCCAAAACTCACAGTTGCACATAATTGAAACAATTCATTTAGATGAACTGAATTACGGTCCCATAAAAGCTGGACATTGGTCCTTTTTATTTCTACACTAGAGGGCAGTATACCACCAAGAAACCTAGAGGGCAGTATAGCACCAAGAAACCTAGAGGGCAGTATAGCACCAAGAAACCTAGAGGGCAGTATAGCACCAAGAAACCTAGAGGGCAGTATAGCACCAAGAAACCTAGAGGGCAGTATACCACCAAGAAACCTAGAGGGCAGTATAGCACCAAGAAACCTAGAGGGCAGTATAGCACCAAGAAACCTAGAGGGCAGTATAGCACCAAGAAACCTAGAGGGCAGTATAGCACCAAGAAACCTAGAGGGCAGTATAGCACCAAGAAACCTAGAGGGCAGTATAGCACCAAGAAACCTAGAGGGCAGTATACCACCAATAAACCTAGAGGGCAGTATACCACCAAGAAACCTAGAGGGCAGTATACCACCAAGAAACCTAGAGGGCAGTATAGCACCAAGAAACCTAGAGGGCAGTATAGCACCAAGAAACCTAGAGGGCAGTATAGCACCAAGAAACCTAGAGGGCAGTATACCACCAAGAAACCTAGAGGGCAGTATAGCACCAAGAAACCTAGAGGGCAGTATAGCACCAAGAAACCTAGAGGGCAGTATAGCACCAAGAAACCTAGAGGGCAGTATAGCACCAAGAAACCTAGAGGGCAGTATACCACCAAGAAACCTAGAGGGCAGTATACCACCAAGAAACCTAGAGGGCAGTATACCACCAAGAAACCTAGAGGGCAGTATACCACCAAGAAACCTAGAGGGCAGTATACCACCAAGAAACCGTTTAGCGTTTTAGAATAAGTTACTGCCACAACCCTACTAATAACTTTAAATTAAATGAATGATATATTGTTTGATTTGATGATGTTAAAGACAAATGTAGCAGGTTAGTTGTATTTCTTTTCAGTTTGTTGTCCTCCGCTATGTGCGTACCATATGAAACAGTCATTTAAACATCATTTTCTCCCCTGCATTTGTAATTAAGCTCAGGTAGAGCCAGAAGATGATTGCTCTGAGACAGGTGCCGCGTCCCAAATGGCGCCCTATTCCCTATGGTACCTGGTCTAAAGTAGTGCACTACATAGGGAATAGGGTGCCATTTGTGTCACTGAAGATACTGCTGCTCAACCTGCTGAATATATTTCTCTATCTTATGATGAGTCTTAGTTTGCATCCCAAACGGCACCCTATTCCCTACATAGTACACTACTTTAGACCAGAGCACTGAGGGGAATATACTGCACACTGTATAGGGAATAGGGTGCCGTTTTGGAGGCTGAAGTCAGAAGACTAGCCTGCTTCTGTCTGTGTGTCTGATTGATGAAGTCATTCACTGGCTGCTGTTATTACAGTATTATTAAAGTGGGTCAATTATTATATGAGTATCAAGATCAATACAACTAGTATTCCTACCTCATGCTTATCTGTACTATAACACAATGTATAGTACTGCTGATATAGCATGTTATCTGAACAGGTTATCAATAGAACTGACTGTCCTGTCCTCCTCTTCCTCCCTCCAGTCTCCAGTGGCCCAGAGTGGTCGTCTATCACTGACTGTCCTGTCCTCCTCTTCCTCCCTCCAGTCTCCAGTGGCCCAGAGTGGTCGTCTATCACTGACTGTCCTGTCCTCCTCTTCCTCCCTCCAGTCTCCAGTGGCCCAGAGTGGTCGTCTATCACTGACTGTCCTGTCCTCCTCTTCCTCCCTCCAGTCTCCAGTGGCCCAGAGTGGTCGTCTCTCAGAGTCTCTGAGGAAGTCCCAGCTGTGGTCAGGTGTCGTGAGGGTGACCCTGGTGGAGGGGCAGGACCTGCCACAGGACGGACCTGGAGAGCTGTTTGTACGATTCAGACTGGGGGAGCAGAGATACAGGAGCAGGGTAGGAGAATGCATGAGGACAAACATACACACTATCACACACACACACACACACACACACTCTCACGCACAAATACACACACATACACACACACGCTCACGCACAAATACACACACATACACACACACGCTCACGCACACATACACACACACGCTCACGCACACATACACACACACGATCACACATACACACACACGCTCACGCACACATACACACACACATACACACACGATCACACAAACATATACACACACGATCACATACACATATACACACACATACACACACGATCACACAAACATACACACACACGCTCACGCACACACACACACACACGCTCACGCACACATACACACACACGATCACACACACATACACACACACGCTCACGCACACACACACACACACGCTCACGCACACATACACACACACGATCACACACACATACACACACACGCTCACGCACACATACACACACACGCTCACGCACACATACACACACACGATCACACATACACACACATACACACACACGCTCACGCACACATACACACACACGATCACACATACACACACACGCTCACGCACACATACACACACACATACACACACGATCACACAAACATATACACACACGATCACATACACATACACACACACGATCACACAAACATACACACACACGCTCACGCACACATACACACACACGCTCACGCACACATACACACACACGCTCACGCACACATACACACACACGATCACATACACATACACACACACGATCACACATACACACACACGATCACATACACATACACACACACGCTCACGCACACATACACACACACGATCACATACACATACACACATACGCTCACGCACACATACACACACACGATCACACAAACATACACACACACGATCACATACACGATCACACACACACACACACACACACACACGCACACATACACACACACGATCACACACACACACACACTCTCTCTGCTTCTAAGTCCTCTCTCCCCTCCTGTGTTCAGAACCAGCCCAAGAAGGCCAACCCCCAGTGGAGGGAGAGGTTTGACTTCAACCGGTTCCCGGATGGTCCTGGGGTTCTGGAGATAGAGGTCTGGAACAAAGAGGGACGCAAATATGAGGAGTGTTACGGCATGTGAGTTACAACACGGGTCATTCTGGATCACTTTAGAATCGTTATGATGTCTAGTGAATGGTACCACTGATTTGTGAGTTACAGCATGGGTCATTCTGGATCACTTTAGAATCGTTATGATGTCTAGTGAATGGTACCACTGATTTGTGAGTTACAACATGGGTCATTCTGGATCACTTTAGAATCGTTATGATGTCTAGTGAATGGTACCACTGATTTGTGAGTTACAACATGGGTCATTCTGGATCACTTTAGAATCGTTATGATGTCTAGTGAATGGTACCACTGATTTGTGAGTTACAACATGGGTCATTCTGGATCACTTTAGAATCGTTATGATGTCTAGTGAATGGTACCACTGATTTGTGAGTTACAACATGGGTCATTCTGGATCACTTTAGAATCGTTATGATGTCTAGTGAATGGTACCACTGATTTGTGAGTTACAACATGGGTCATTCTGGATCACTTTAGAATCGTTATGATGTCTAGTGAATGGTACCACTGATTTGTGAGTTACAACATGGGTCATTCTGGATCACTTTAGAATCGTTATGATGTCAAGTGAATGGTACCACTGATTTGTGAGTTACAACATGGGTCATTCTGGATCACTTTAGAATCGTTATGATGTCTAGTGAATGGTACCACTGATTTGTGAGTTACAACATGGGTCATTCTGGATCACTTTAGAATCGTTATGATGTCTAGTGAATGGTACCACTGATTTGTGTGTTACAACATGGGTCATTCTGGATCACTTTAGAATCGTTATGATGTCAAGTGAATGGTACCACTGATTTGTGAGTTACAACATGGGTCATTCTGGATCACTTTAGAATCGTTATGATGTCTAGTGAATGGTACCACTGATTTGTGAGTTACAACATGGGTCATTCTGGATCACTTTAGAATCGTTATGATGTCTAGTGAATGGTACCACTGATTTGTGTGTTACAACATGGGTCATTCTGGATCACTTTAGAATCGTTATGATGTCCAGTGAATGGTACCACTGATTTGTCTGTCTTTCAGCCCTCAACTTTATTGTCTCTTTTCCTTGCAAATGCATAAGAAGAACCTTTCCACCATGTATGAACCAAACCATACTGCAACATATTGTTGATGTGTGTGTTCTGTCTCTGTGTGTGTGTGTGTGTGTGTGTGTGTGTGTGTGTGTGTTCTGTCTCTCTGTGTGTGTGTGTGTGTGTGTGTGTGTGTGTGTGTGTGTTCTGTCTCTGTGTGTGTGTGTGTGTGTGTATCAGGTGTGAGGTGGACCTGTCCAGTGTTCTACCCAACCAGTCTCAGCTGTTCACGCGGGTTCTGGAAGAGGGAAAAGGTCGGGTGGTCTTCCTGATCACACTGAGCACGTGTAGTGGTGTCTCCATCTCCGACATGTGTGCCCCGTCCCCCGAGGAGCATCAGGAGAGAGAGAACACACTGGAGAAATACGTCAGTACTGTTACCTCACTGTTCTTATGGGAGAAATACGTCAGTACTGTTACCTCACTGTTCTTATTGGAGAAATACGTCAGTACTGTTACCTCACTGTTCTTATTGGAGAAATACGTCAGTACTGTTACCTCACTGTTCTTATTGGAGAAATACGTCAGTACTGTTACCTCACTGTTCTTATTGGAGAAATACGTCAGTACTGTTACCTCACTGTTCTTATTGGAGAAATACGTCAGTACTGTTACCTCACTGTTCTTATGGGAGAAATACGTCAGTACTGTTACCTCACTGTTCTTATTGGAGAAATACGTCAGTACTGTTACCTCACTGTTCTTATTGGAGAAATACGTCAGTACTGTTACCTCACTGTTCTTATGGGAGAAATACGTCAGTACTGTTACCTCACTGTTCTTATGGGAGAAATACGTCAGTACTGTTACCTCACTGTTCTTATTGGAGAAATACGTCAGTACTGTTACCTCACTGTTCTTATGGGAGAAATACGTCAGTACTGTTACCTCACTGTTCTTATGGGAGAAATATGTCAGTACTGTTACCTCACTGTTCTTATGGGAGAAATATGTCAGTACTGTTACCTCACTGTTCTTATGGGAGAAATACGTCAGTACTGTTACCTCACTGTTCTTATGGGAGAAATACGTCAGTACTGTTACCTCACTGTTCTTATGGGAGAAATATGTCAGTACTGTCATAGTATAATAATAATAATATATTATACAGTGATATACCTCACTGCTCTCAGTTATAGATACGTCAGTACTGTCATATAATGATAATAATAATATATTATTAATATACCTCACTCTTCTCAGATATACAGTGAGGGAAAAAAGTATTTGATCCCCTGCTGATTTTGTATGTTTGCCCACTGACAAAGAAATGATCAGTCTATAACTGTAATGGTAGGTTTATTTGAACAGTGAGAGACAGAATAACAACCAATCACACAGGCTCACCCCTGGATCAGCCCTCCTATTGATATTACAGCCATGTCTGGTGTTACCGTAGTTAACCGTTCTGGTGTTACTGTAGTTAACCGTTCTGGTGTTACTGTAGTTAACCGTTCTGGTGTTACTGTAGTTAACCGTTCTGGTGTTACTGTAGTTAACCGTTCTGGTGTTACCGTAGTGTAACCGTTCTGGTGTTACTGTAGTTAACCGTTCTGGTGTTACTGTAGTTAACCGTTCTGGTGTTACTGTAGTTAACCGTTCTGGTGTTACTGTAGTTAACCGTTCTGGTGTTACTGTAGTTAACCCTGTCCTGGTGTTACTGTAGTTAACCGTTCTGGTGTGTACTGTAGTTAATCCGTTCTGGGGTGTTACTGTAGTTAACGCGTTTCTGGTGGTTTACTGTAGTTTAACCCGTTCCTGGTGTTACCGTAGTTAACCGTGTCTGGTGTTACCGGTTAGTTAACCCGTTCTGGTGTTACTGTAGTTAACCCTGTCTGGGTGTTACCTGAGTTTTAACCCGTTCCTGGTGTTACCGTAGTTAACCGTTCTGTGTTCACTGTAGTTAACCCTTCTGGGGTTACTTGTAGTTAACCGTTCTGGGTGTTACCGTAGTTAACCCGTTCATCTGGGTGTTACCTGTAGTTTAACCGTTCTGGTGTTCACCGTTAGTTAACCGTTCTGGGGTTACTGTAGTTAACCGTTCTGGTGTTACTGTAGTTAACCGTTCTGGTGTTACTGTAGTTAACCGTTCTGGGTTACTGTAGTTAACCGTTCTGGTGTTACTGTAGTTAACCGTTCTGGTGTTACTGTAGTTAACCGTTCTGGTGTTACTGTAGTTACCGTTCTGGTGTTACTGTAGTTAACCGTTCTGGTGTTACTGTAGTTAACCCGTGTCTTGTGGTTACTGTGAGTTAACACGTTGTCTGGGTGTTACTGTAGTTTAACCCGTTCTGGTGTTACTTGTAGTGAACCGTCCTGGTGTTGCTGTAGTTACCCGTTCGGGATGTTACTGTAGTTAACCCGTGTCTGTGTTACTGTAGTCAACCGTTTCTGGTGGTTTACTTCGTAGGAACCGTTCTGGTTGTTACCGTAGTTAACCGTTCTGGTGGTACTACTGTAAGCTTAACCGTTCTGGTGTTACTGTAGTTAACGCGTTCTGGTGTTACTGGTAAGTTTCACCGTTCTGGTGTTACTGTAGTTAACCGTTCTGGTGTTACTGTAGTTAACCGTTCTGGTGTTACCGTAGTTAACCGTTCTGGTGTTACCGTAGTTAACCGTTCTGGTGTTTACTGTGTTAACCCTGTCGGTTTACTGAGAAAAACCGTTCGGTGTTACTGTATTTTAACCGTTCTGGTGTTACTGTAGTTAACCTTTCTGGGGTTTTACCCGTATTTAAACCTTTCTGGTGTTACTGTATTTAAACCGTTCTGGTGTTACCGTAGTTAACCGTTCTGATTTTATGTAGTTAACCGTTCTGGTGTTTGTTTTAAAACCTTTCGGTGTTACCGTATTTTCCCGTTTTTGGTTTACTGTATTTAACCGTTCGGGTGTTACTGTGTTAAACCGTTTGGTTTTTCTGTATTTAAACCCCTTCTGGGTTTTTACGGTAGTTAACCTTTCGGGTGTTACTGTAGTTAACCGTTCTGGTGTTACTGTAGTTAACCGTTCGGGTGTTTACTGATTTAAAACCCTTTCTGGGGTTACTGAGTTAACCGTTCTGGTTTTTTACCGTATTTAAACCGTTCGGGTTTTCTGTAGTTAACCGTTCGGGTTTACTGTAGTTAACCTTTTTCGGTGTACTGTATTAAAAACCTTTTTTCTGGTGTTCTGTATTAACCCCGTTCTGGGTTTACTGTATTAACCGTCTGGTGTTCTGTAGTTAACCGTTCTGGTGTTACTGATTTAAACCCCTTCTGGTTTCGTAGTTAACCCGTCTGGGTTCGTATTAACCGTTCGGTGTTTACTGTATTAACCGTTCTGGTGTTTACTGTTTTAACCGTTCTGGTTTTACTGTAGTTAACCGTTCGGGGGTTTTACGTATTTAAAACCCGTCTGTTTACTGTTTCCCGGGTTTCTGGTGTTACTGTATTAAAACCGTTTGGTTTTTTCCGTAGTTAACCGTTCTTTTGTTACTGTAGTTCACCGTTTCGGTGTTACGGGGATTTAAAAACCGTTCTGGTGTTACGTGTTAACCGTTCTGGTGTTCTGTATTTCACCGTTCTGGTGTTACTGTATTTTAACCTTTTTCTGGTTTTTACTGTTTTAAACCGTTCTGGTTTTAAAACCGTTTTTTTTTAACCGTTCTGGTTTACTGTAGTTAACCTTTTCTGGGTTACTGTAGTTAACCCTTCGGTGTTATGTTTTTAACCGTTCTGGGTTTCGTATTTTAACCGTTTCTGGTGTTACTGTATTAAAACCGTTCTTTGGGTTCCCTAGTTAAACCGTTCTGTGTTACTGTTTTTAACCCGTTCTGGTGTTCCCGGGTATTAACCCGTTCTGATTTACGGTATTTAACCTTCGGGTGTTACCGATTTTAACCCGTTTTTTGGTTTTAAAACCTTTTTAACCTTCTGTGTTTCTGTATTAACCGTTTCTGGGTTACTGTATTTAAACCCTTTTCTGGGGGTTAAACTGTAGTTAACCCTTCTGGTGTTACGTATTTAAAAACCCTTCTGGGTGTTACTGTATTTAAAACCTTTTCGGGTGTTACTGTAGTTAACCTTTTTCTGGTGTTACTGTATTTAACCTTTCTTTGTTGTTATTTGATTTAAAAACCTTTCTGGTTTCTGTATTTAAAAATTTTTCTGGTGTTACGTGTTAAACCGTTCTGGTTTCTGTAGTTAAACCGGGTTTCGGGGTTAGTAGTTTAAACCGTTCTGGGTTACTTTTAGTTAACCCGTCTGGGTTACTGTAGTTAACCGTTCTGGGGTTTTACTGTGTTAACCTTTTTTCCCTGGTGTTACGTATTTAAACCGTTCTGGTTTTTACTGTAGTTAACCGTTCTGGGTTACTGTAGTTAACCCGGCGGGTTTTTTATTTGGGTTAACCGTTCTGGTTTTACTGTTTAACCGTTCTGGTGTCCCCTTTAGTTAACCCCGTTCGGGTTTTTTACGATTTTGACCGTTCGGTGTTTCCGTATTTTTAAACCCTTTCTGGTGTTACTGTTTTAAAAACCGTTCTGGTGTTATGTGTTCCCCCGTTCGGGTGTTACGTATTAACCGTTCTGTGTTATGAGTTAACCTTTCTGGGAACCGTATTTAAAACCGTTCTGGTTTTCTGTTTTTTAACCGTTCTGTTTTTCTTTTATTTTACCCTTCTTTTTCTTATTTCCTTCTTTTTTCTGATTTAAACCGTTTCGGGGTTTTACTGTTTTAAACCTTTTCGGGTTACCGTTTTAACCCTTTTTCTGGTTTACTTAGTTAACCGTTCTGGTGTTACTGTATTAACTGTTCTGGTTTTTACCGTATTTAAACCGTTTCTGGTGTTCTGTATTTAAAACCGTTCGTGTTTCCCAAATTTAAACCCCTTCTGGGGTTACTTTAGTTAACCGTTCTGGTTTTTTCTGAGTTAACCTTTTTTCTGGGGGTTTCCGGTATTAAAACCGGTTTGGTGTTACTGTAGTTAACCCTTCTGGTTTTAAACCCGAGTTAACCCTTCTGGGGGTTTACCGTGTTAAACCGTTCGGTTTTTACTGTAGTTAACCGTTCTGGTGTTACTTTTTTTACCGTTGGGGGTGTTCTGTAGTTCCGTTCTGGGTTTACTGTTTTTTAAAACCCCTTCGGTGTTTCCCCGTTTTAACCGTTTTCGGGGTTTACTGTAGTTAACCGTTCTGGTTTTACGTAGTAACCGTTCGGGTTTTTTACTGGTAGTTTAACCGTTCGGGTGTTCTGTAGTTAACCTTTTTGGTTTACTGTAGTTAACCCGTTCTGGGGGGGTTTTACTGTAGTTAAAAACCTTTTCTGGTGTTATTAGTTAACCGTTCTTGGTGGTTTTCCCCGAGTTTAACCGTTCTGGGGTTTACCGTAGTTAACCGTTCCCGGTGTTTTACCCCCGAGTTAAACCTTTTCTTTTTTTTACTTTATTTTAAAACCTTCTGGTTTTACTGTATTACCGTTCTGGGGTGTTACTGTAGTTAACCCCGTTCTTTTTTTTTAAAACTGTATTAACCGTTCTGGTGTTCTGTAGTTAAACCCCTTTCTGGGTGTTACTGTATTAACCCTTCTGGTTTATTTGTGTTAACCGTTCTTTGGTTTTCTGTTTTTTACCCGTTCTGGTTTTTACTTTTTTAACCGTTCTGGTTTACTGTTTTTAACCGTTCTGGGTTTTACTGTTTTTAACCTTTCTGGTGTTTTACTGTATTTTAACCGTTCTGGGGTTCCGTGTTAAAACCTTCCCGGGTGTTTCCGTATTAAACCGTTCGGTTTTCCCCCTTTAAGTTTAACCCGTTCTGGGGTTACTGTAGTTAACGTTCTGGTGTTACCCCGTATTAACCGTTCTGGTTTTTACCGTATTTAAACCTTCTGGTGTTACTGTATTAACCGTTTCGGTGTTACCGTATTTAACCTTTCTGGTTTTACTTTATTTAAAACCCGTTTCGGGGTTTGTTACCCGTAGTTTAACCTTTTTCTGGTTTTTACTGTAGTTAACCGTTCTGGGTTTTTACTGTTTTAAAACCGTTCTGGTGTTACTGTATTTAACCTTCTGGGGTTCTGTAGTTAACCGTTCGGTTTTTACTGTATTAACCATTCGGCGGTTTTTTACTGTATTTAAAACGGCTTTTTTTGTTCTGGTGTTACTGAAGTTAACAGGCTTTTTGTTCTGGTGTTGTTCTCCCCTCAGAGTTTCAAAAGTTCCTTCAACAACCTCCGGGATGTTGGTTTCCTTCAAGTCAAGGTTATCAAGGCTACTGGTCTGTTGGCAGCTGATTTAAATGGTAAGAAGCACTATCACTCTGTTCATATTAACTTCTTTATTTCACTGTAGAACTAGCTAGATCCTTCAGTGTTGCACTACATTTTATCACACAGAAATGCTGTATATAGAAACTAACACTGGCTGTGGGTGTCTGTGTCTCTTGCAGGGAAGAGTGATCCGTTCTGTGTGTTGGAGTTAGGGAATGACAGACTGCAGACTCACACCATCTATAAAACCCTCTACCCCAACTGGAACAAAGTCTTTACCTTGTCAGTCGACCAGCCCCGCTTTTTAAGGGGCTCGCCCAAACGTGTTTTCGGGGTCGAAAAGTCTTTCACTTTAAAGATGTTCTGTGTATTCCAATATTTCTCCCACCAGTCGATGGCCAGTTGCCATATGAACCATACAGTTGATCTAATCCCAGTTTATATTTCAGTTGATGTTTATGGTGTATTTATATTAATATGTGTTGTTCTCCAGCCCAGTGAAAGACGTCCATGATGTTCTGGAGCTGACCATCTTTGATGAGGACGGAGACAAAGCACCTGACTTCCTGGGGGAAAAAGGGGCCTTTTTTCCTCACTCTCTGTAAGTAAAAAGGTCCCTTTTCCCTCTCTCTCTGTCAGTAGCATAGTGTCCATTCCTCTACTCTCTTCAGTATTGGGTTTCCATTCCCTCTCTCTTTTCAGTAGTATATTGGCCCATCCCTACTTTTCGTCAGTAGCATAGTGTCCATTCCTCTATCTTTTTCATGCATAGTTTTTCCATTCCTCTAACTCTCGGGCATAGCATAGTTCCATTCCTCTCTCTCTGTCAGACATAGTGTCCTTTTCCTCTCCCTCTCTGCCCATACAAGTGTCCTTTCCTCTATCTCTGTCAGTAGATGTGTCCTTCCTCTACTCTCTGTCAGTAGCATAGTGTCCATTCCTCTACTCTCTGTCAGTAGCATAGTGTCCATTCCTCTACTCTCTGTCAGTAGCATAGTGTCCATTCCTCTACTCTCTGTCAGTAGCATAGTGTCCATTCCTCTACTCTCTGTCTTACATAGGTCCATTATCTACTCTCGTAGAAGCATAGGTCCTTCCTCTACTCCTGTCAGTAATAGTTCCCTTTCCCCCCCTACCCCCTGTCAGTATATGTTCCATTCCTCACTCTCTGTAATAGCCAAGTCCCTTTCCCTTACTCTCTGTCTACATAGTGCCCCCTTCCCTCACTCTCTGAAGTAGTATAGGTCCTTCCTCACTCTCTGTCAGTATATTGGGTCCATTCCTCACTCTCTGTCATCCCATATGTCCATTCCTCTACTCTCTGTCAGTATATGGTCCATTCCTCACTCTCGTCAGTATATAAGTGTCCTTTCCCCCTCTACTCTCTGTCAGTAGCAATGCCCATTCCTCCTCTTTTCCCAAAGCATAGTGTCCATTCCTCACCCCTCTGTCAGTAGCAATTTCCCATCCTCTCTCCTGTCAGTAATATAGTGCCATTCCTCTACTCTCTGTCAGTAGTATAGTGTCCATTCCTCTACTCTCTGTCAAATATGTCCTTTCCCCTCTACCCCTCGTCATTTTATATGGGCCCCATTCCTCTACTCCTGTCAGTACATAGTGCCATTCCTCTCTCTCTGTCATAGTATATGTCCCATTCCTCTACTCTTTTGTCAGAGAAATGTGGCCTTTCCCTCTATCTCTGTCTAGCATAGGGGCCATTCCTCTACCTCTTCAGTAGCAATGCCATTTCCTCTATCTCTGTCATACATAGTGTCCATTCCTCTCCTCTGTCAGTAGTAAGTGGGCCTTCCCCTCCTCTGTCTAGCATATGTCCTTTCCCTCACCCCCTTTTTCAGTAGTATAGTTCCTTCCTCTACTCTCTTCATAGCATGTGTCCTTCCCCCTCATCTCTGTGTGCATAGTGTCCTTTCCCCCTCTCTCGTCAGAAAATTTGGGTGTCCATTCCTCACTCTCTGTCATACATAGTGTCCGTTCCACTCTCTCGCAGATATAGTGGCCATTCCCTCCCCCTTTGTCAGACAAGTGTCCATTCCTCTCCCCTCTCTGAAGTAGCATAGTGGTCCATTCCTCTCTCTTTCAGTAGCATGTGCCAAATTTCCTCACTCTCGTCATGTTGTGGCCATTCCCCCTCTACTCTCTATAACATTTACATTTACTTTACGCTTTTTTAGCAGACACTCTTTCCAAAGTAGCAATATCGGCGCGGTCCCCATTCCCCAAAAAGTTTTCATAGTTTTTCCCCCCCCATTTTCCCTTTTCCTTCCCCTTTTCCCAGTAGAAAAGTGTTTTCCCCCCCAAATTACCTCCCTCTCCCTTTCGTAAAAGCAAAAAGGGTTTCCCCCGCCATTTCCTTCCTCACCCGGCCCCAGAAAGTATAGGGGCCCCCAAATTTTCCTTTTACTCCCCCCCCTTTTAAAACATTTTACTTTTTATGTAATTTAAATTTACCCAAAGGAACCCTCCCCTCCCTTTCCCAGAAAGAAAAAAGGGGGGGCCAAACCTCACTTTTCTGTAAGTAGAAGGGGCCCTTTCCCCTTTTACCCCCCTGTAAAAATTAGCTTTGGGGCCCCCCTCCCCGCTATTTTCCCCCTTTTCCCTGAAATATTTGGGGGGGCCCCCAATTCCCCGCCCCCGGGGGGAAAGGGAAAATATTTTCCTTTCCCCCAAAACCCGCAAAGAAAAGCATAGTGTCCTTCCCCCCCAGCCCCCGGCCTTTCCCCCCGGTCAGTGGCATAGGGGCCCCCCCCCCCAAAAATTTTGCCCTTCCCTTTCCCTTTTTTGGGTAAAAAAGCGGGGGGGCCCCAAACCCCCCGACCCCGGGGGCCCAGGGGAAAATAGTTTTTCCCTTCCTCCCCCCCCTTTTCCCGGGTCCCCCCTTTTTTGAAACAAAGTGTCCATTCCCCCTACTCTCGGCCCATGGGAAAGGGGGGGGCCTTTTCCCACTCTTCTCTAAAAACCCTTTTTACTTTCAAATTTTTAAATTTTACTTTCTTTAAAAGCAGACCCCCCTTATCCAAGAAAAGCATAGGGGGCCCCCAACCTCTACTCCCCTGTCCCATTAAAAGGCCTTTTTTGGTGGTTCCAAATTCCTCCCCCCAACTCTCTTTTAAGATAGTGGTTCCCCCCCCCCCAATGTTTTCCCTCTACCTCGGCCAAAAAGTAATTTTTCCCCCCCCCTCTACCCCTTCCCTTAAGAAAGCAAGTTTTTTCCATTCCCACTCTCCCCCCCGGCTGGCCTTCCCAGAGGGGGGCCCCCTTTTCCTCTACCCCTCTGCCCATTTTTAGTGAATTTCCCCCTTTTTTTCCCCTTTCTCCCCTCCCCCTGTAAAGAAAAGCATATTTGGCCCCCTTTTCCCCTCTCTCTGTCAGTAAAAATATTTTTGCCCCCCATTCCCCCTACCCCTTTTCTGCCCCAGAAATAAAAGGGGCCATTTCCTCTTTTCTTTACCTTTTCTCTTTAACATGTTCCATTTCAAAAAATTTTTCAAAATTGGAAAACCCCTTCGGTCGGGCCCACCCCTTTACCCCATTAAAGGGGCCCCAAAAGTGTTTCCCCCCCCAAGTACCTTCCCCTACTCTCTGTCATTGGGATATTTGTCCCATTCCTCTACCCCCTCTGCCCGTAGATGGGGTTGTCCCATTTTCCTCTACTCTCGGTTCAGTAAAGGGGGCCAACCCCGTGAGAAATTTCCCCCCCACCCCCCGTCCTTTTTTTATTTTCCCTTTTTGGGTCCCCAATTAAGCATATTTTGGTCCTTTCCCCTCCCCCTTCGGGTCAGAAAGAATAGGGGCCCAATTCCCCCCTCTACTCTCTTTCAGTAGCATAGTTTTCCCATACCTCTACTCCTGCCCCCCATGCATAGTGTCCAGTCCCCTTTTTCTTTGGGCCTTCCCTTTGTTGAAGGACCCAATATTTTGGGGCCCCCATACCCCCCTACTTTTCGGGTCATTTGGGCCAAAATTTTTTAGTGGTGCCCCCATTCCCTTTTCTTAATTCCTCCTCTCCTTGTCAGACCCATAGGGGGCCATTCCCCTCTCCCCTTCTGTCGTAGTAAAAATTCCCCCCCTTTCCCCCCTTACTCCCCCTTAATAAAAACTTTTAACTTTTTACATTTTTAACATTCCGCCCCTTTAAAGGCAGACGCCCCTTTCCAATTGGGCATAGTGTTTCCCCAAACCTTACTCTCTGCCCGTATAACAAGGGGTCCCCCTTTTGCTTTTCAAAAGTTTTCCCTTCGTATAAAAAAATGGGGGCCCAAATTTCCTCTCCCCCTCACCCCCCCTTAAAAAACCCAAAAAACTTTGGGTTTCCCCCCAAATTTCCCCTCCCACTCCCCCCGGTTACATAATGGTTTTTTTTCCCCCCCCTTTTCCCCTATCCCCGGGTCCCAAAGGGGCCCAAGGGGGCCCCCCCAAACCCCCCCCTACCCGTTTGGGCCAGTACCCCCCAAAAAGGGGGGGCCATCCCCCAACCCTTCCCCGGAAAGGGACAAGGGGGGGGGCCCCTTTCCCCCCTACTCCGGGGTCAGGAAGCCAAATAAACCCCCTAGGGGGCCCCTTTTTCCCTACCCCTTTTCGGCCCGGGTCCCCCAAAACCCTTTAGTTTGGGGGGGGTTTCCCTTTCCCCGGTTACCCCCCCCTCCCCCCCTGTCTAGGGGGCCCCCAAATTCCCTACCCCCTTGCCCGGGGTCTAGGGGGGCCCCATTCCCCCCTCCCCTTTTTTCTTTAAATTTTTAACCCCATAAGTTTCCCTGTTTTTCCCCTCCCTACTCTCTTTTCCGGGAGCAATGTTCCCCCCCCCCCCATTTTCCCCCTTTCCTACCTCCCCCCCATAGATATTTGGCCCCCCCATTCCTCTACCTCTTCAGTAAAAAGGGGCCCTTTTTTGGGTTTCCAAATTCCCTCAAACCCCCCTTTCGTAAAAGCAAGGGGTTTTCCCCTTCCCCGGCTATTCCTTTCTTCTTAAAAAAGTAATAGTGTCCCCCTTTTTGCCCCACTCCCCTTTTCCAGTTTTAAGTGCCCAAATTTCCCCCTTTCTACCCCTTTTGTCAGTAGCATGTGGCCATTCCCCCTCCCTTGCCCCAGTATTTATAGGGGGGCCCAATCCCTCCCTCCCCTCCTTTTTCCCCGGGTAAGGCATAGTTTTCCCATTTTCCCTTCCTCAAACCCTCTGCCCAGTAGAAAATATGGGCCCCCATTTTCCCATTTTTCCCTTCCTCTCTTCTGAAAGCCCCCAAAAAGGGGGGGCCCCCCATACCTCTCCCTCCCTGTCAGAAAAGCTTTTGGGGGCCCCATTTCCTCAAACCCCTCTAAAAAGGAGCAATTTTGCCCCATTCCCCTCCGCCTTCCTTGTTTCCTTTTTTTAAAGTAAAGGGGGCCCTTCCCCCTACCCCTCTGTCATAGAAATATTTTTTCCCCAATTCCTCTACTCCCCTGTAAGAAAGCAAAAAGGGGGGCCCCTTTTCCCTATTTTCTCGGGCCCGGGTAAAAATAGGGGGGGCCCCCCTTTTCCCCTAACCTCCCTGCAGTAAATTTTTCCACCTTTTTTGGGGGCCCCCAATTCCTTCCCTACTCCCCCGTCAGAAACCCTAGGGGGGTCCCCCATTCCCCCTACTTTTTTCTTTCTTCCCTTTCATTTGTAATTTAAGGGGGCCTTTTCCCCCAACCCCTCTCTTTCTGGTCCTTTTTAATTTTAATATTTGGCCCCCCTTTTTCCCCAAAACTCTCGGGTTTAAAGTAGAAAAGTGTCCATTTTTTCCCCTCTACCCCCGTAACCTCTTCCTTTTCCCCCCCCAGTAGATAGGGGCCCCCCCCCCCCTCTACCCCCTCTTTTTAAGTAGAAAAGGGTGGGCCTTTCCTTTTACTCCCCCTTTTAAAGAAAAACCCCAAGTTTTCCCCCCCCAGTTTCCCCTCAAAACTCCCCTTTTAAAAAGCAATGGGGGTTTTCCCCCATTTCCCCTTCTCTATTTCCTCTGTTTTTGTAGTAAAGGGGGGCCTTTTCCTCTCTCTTTTTCCCCAAGTAGCATAGGGGGGCCCCCTTTTTCCTCTCTTTTGGTTAAAGTAGAAATTGTGTCCTTTCCCCTCTACTTTTCTGGTCGTTGGGTATGGGGGAAATTTAAGGGTAGTGGGGGGGGGGGGTTGGGGGGCCTTTCCCTCCCTTACTCCCTCTTTCCTTTCCTTCCTTTCGTAGAAAAGGGGGCCCCCTTTCCCTTTCACTCTCTGCCCCAGTAGATAGGGGGGGGGGGGGCCCCTTTTTCCTCAAAACTCCCCTGCCCCCAATAGCATAGTGGGTCCCCTTCCCTTTAACGGCCCTTTTCCCCCCCTTTTCCCCTTTAAAGAGCATGGGGCCCCTTCCTTTCCCTTCTACTTTCCCCCTTTCCCGAAAGGCATAGGGGGTCCCCCCCCCAATGTCCCTTTCCTTCATTTCCCTGTCCAAAAGCATAGGGGGCCCCCCAATTTCCCCTTTTAAATTTTCCCCCTTCCCCCCCCAAAGTAGAATAGGGGGGCCCTTTCCCCCCCAAACTCTCTTTAATACATAGTGTCCCTTTTCCCCCCCCAAAAAAGATCCTCTACTCTCTGTCAGTAGTATGGGTGGCCATTCCTCACCTCTGCGTAGCAATTTCCTTTCCCTCTACTCCCGGGCATTTAGCAAGGGGTCCTTTCCCTACTCTCGTCGAAACATGGGGGCCTTTCCCTACTCTCTGTCATTGAAGGCCCCCTTTTCCTCACCGGGGGAAGTAGCAATTTCCCAAATTCCTCTACCCTTGCAGTAGAATGGCCTTTCCCTACCCTTGTCATTACATATTTTCCATTCCTCTACTCCTGTCAGTAGCTGGGGCCCATTCCTCTCCTCCTTCATAGATGGGCCTTTCCTCACCCGTCGGGATAAGGGGCCAAATTCCTCACTCTCGGCCCGTAGATAGTGCCCTTTCCCTCAAACTCTCTGTCATAGCATGGCCCTTTCCCTCTACTCTTTGTCGGTACCCTATTTCCACCTCTACTCCTGCAGTAATGGGGCCCATACCTCCTCCCCCCTTGTCGGGGAAAGGGTCCAAAATTCCCCCTTCCCTCGCGGTCGGGTTAGAAAGGGGCCATTCCTCACCTCGGGCAGTAGATAGTGGCCATTCCTCAAAACTTTTCCTTTCGTAGCAAGGGCCCCAAAACCTCTAATCTCGGGCATAATTTGGTCCATTCCCACAACCCCGGCGGGAGAAGTGTCCTTTCCCTCCCCTCTCTTTTCAGGGGGAAGGGGGCCAGTCCCCACTCTCGGTCAGTAGATAGGGGCCATTCCCTACTCCTGTCAAGAAGGGGCCATTCCTCTACTCTCTGTCGTAGCATAGTTTTCCCCTTCCCCTACCTCTTTCAGAAAGCTGGGTCCCCCCCTTAAAAAAACTCTCTTCAGTAGCATAGTTTCCTTCCTCTACTCCTGTCAAGTATAGTGGCCCATTCCTCACTCCTGCCCGTAAAAGGGGGTTTTCCATTCCTCTATTTCTCTGTCATAGATAGGGGCCCCTTCCCTCTACTCCTGCCCAAGTAATAGGGTCCTTTCCTTTTTCCCTCTTTCTTTAAGCATTTTCCCAAATTCCCTATTTCTCTGTCGGGAGAAATAGGGGCCCTTTCCCCCTCCCCTCTTTTTGGCGGGAATAAGGGGCCATTCCTTACTCCGGTCGGGAGCATAGTGTCCCTTCCCCTCCTTTTCAGTAGATAGGGGTCCATTCCCACCTCGGTCAGGGGATGGGGCCCATTCCCACCTTTTCGGGAGAAAGGGGCCCACCCCTCCCTGGGGGCGAACATAGTTCCTTTCCCAAACTCCGTGGGAAGGGGGGCCCTTTCCCCACTGGGGGGGCGGGAGTTTTAGTGCCATTCCCCACCGGGGGCGTAATGGGGGCCATTCCCTACCGGGGGCGGGAGTATAGGGGTCCTTTCCTCTACGTTTGGGATAGAAGGGGGGCCCTTTCCCCTCCTCGGTAAGTAGCATGGGCCACCTCACCCCCCAAGAGAAGGGGGGCCCATTCCTCACCCGGTCAGTGGGAAAATTTAATTCCAAAAGTCAGGGGTATTTTCCCTTAAGAAATTGGGGGGGGCCAATCAAGAGGGGCCACCCTTCCCCAAGGGGATATGTCCCATTCCAAACCCCTCTATTTGCAAAACAAGGTTTCCCTTTTATTTTTCCGGTGTACGTAAATTTCCATCTCCCCCCCCTCTTGAAAAGACCCCAATGGGAAAACCAAAGGGCCCCCTAAGAAAAAAGGGGGCATCTTTCCCTTAAATAAAGAAGAAAACCCCCTGTGGGGGAGCTTTTTTGGTCAACCCCTTACCTTTCCCTCTTCTTCCCCTCCAATCCCAAAAGGGGGAAAAATTTTGGCCCCCTTTAAAAAAGGGGGTTTGGGGGTCTTTTAAAAACCCCCAGATTGAATCCTTTTAACCCGTTGGCCAGTCCCCTGTTTAAACCCCCAGGGGGGGGGAAAATCCCTGTTTTTAAAAACGGGGGGGACCATTTCCTTTTTTAATACAAATGGACCTCCTTTTTTAATACAGTTTGGACCCATCCTTTTTTAATACAGAGGGGCCCAAACCCCCTGTTTATACAGAGGGCCCAGCCCTTTTTTAAACAGATGGACCTTCCTGTTTAATCCGTTTGGACCGGCCCTTTTTTAAAATACAGATGGACCATTCCTTTTTTAAAAAAAAAATGGACCATCCTTTTTAAATTAAGTTTGGCCCAAATCCTTTTTAAAATACAATGGCCCAAAGCCCCGGTTTAAACGAGGGGACCAGTCCTTTTTTAAAAATACAGATGGCCCCGCCCTTTTTAAAAACAGTGGCCCCGTCCCTTTTAATCCGATGGCCCCAGTCCTTTTTTATACAGATGGCCCCAAATTCTTTTTAAAATACAGATGGACCACCCCTTTTTAAACCCAGATGGACCAAATTCCTTTTTAATCAGATGGACCACCCCCTTTTTAAAATACAGATGGACCATTTTTAATCAAAATTAAACCAGCCCCTTTTTTTAAACAGATGGACCAGTCCTTTTTACAGGGGCCCATCCTTTTTTAATCCAGAGGGACCCCCCCCTTTTTAAAATAAAATTGGAACCAGCCCTGTTTAAATCCGTGGCCAGCCCCTTTTTAAATCCCGATGGCCCAAATCCTGTTTTCCAGATGGACCAGTCCGTTTAATACAATGGACCAGTCCTTTTTAAATTTAGAGGGCCAGCCCTTTTTAATCCCGAGGGGGCCCCAGTCCTTTTTAAATCCCGGGGGCCCCCCTTTTTCGGGACCGTTTTAATACAGTTGGACCAGCCCCTTTTAATCCGATGGAACCCCCGGTTTAAACAGTTTGGCCAGTCCTGTTTAATACGAGGGAAACCTTCCTGTTTAAAAACCGATGGCCCAAAGTCCTTTTAAATACGATGGCCCGGGTCCTGTTTAATTTACAGAGGGCCCAGTCCCTGTTTAATCCAGGCCCAGTCCTTTTTTAATCCCCGAGGGACCCCCCTGTTTTACAGTTTGGCCCAGCCCTTTTTTTAATACGAAACCCGCCCGGGTTTTAATACAGTTTGGCCCAAACCCGGGTTTAAAAACGAGGGACCAGTCCTGTTTAATACAGATGGACCAGTCCTGTTTAAATCCCGATGGCCCCCTCCTTTTTAAAAAACCGAGGGACCAGTCCTGTTTAATACGGGTTTGGACCATCCCTTTTTTAATCAGATCCCCCCAGTCCGTTTAATCCCGAGGGACCAGCCCCTGTTTTTAATACAGATGGCCAGCCCTTTTAAAACCCGATTGACCATCCTTTTAAAAAGATGGACCACCCCTTTTTAAAATACGATGGCCCAGCCCCTTTTTTTTAATCCGAGGGGACCAGCCCCTTTTTAATACATATGGCCCCAGCCCCCTTTTTTTAATCCCGATGGACCACCTGTTTTAATCCCGATGGACCATTCCTTTTTTTAATACAATGGCCCGTCCTTTTTATCCCGAGGGAAACCAGTCCTTTTTAAATAAATGGACCAGTCCTGTTTTACAATATACCGAATGGGAACCCTTCCTTTTAAATACAGATGGACCGCCCTTTTTAAAACCCCGATGGACCACCCTGTTTAAAAACAGATGGACCAGCCCTGTTTTTACAGATGGACCTTTCCCTTTTTTAATCCCGTTTGGACCAGCCCTTTTTTAAAACCAAAAGGGAACCAGTCCTTTTTTTCCGAGGGGACCAGTCCTTTTATCCCGAGGGCCCTCCTGTTTAATCCCGAGGGAAACCCTCCTTTTTTCCCCCCGATGGACCCCCCCTTTTTAAAATACAGATGGCCCCAGTCCTTTTTAATACAAGGGACCATCCTTTTTAAATACAAGGGGACCAGTCCTGTTTAATCCCGAGGGCCCAGCCTGTTTAAAAAAACGATGGACCACCCCTGTTAATCCGTTGGCCCTCCTGTTAATCCCGAGGACCAGCCCTGTTTAATCCGGGGCCCAGTCCTTTTTTAATAAAAGATGGCCCAGCCCCTTTTTAAATTAAAATCCCGATGGCCCAGTCCTTTTAATACAAATGGCCCAGCCTTTTTTAATCCAATGGACCAGTCCTTTTTAATACAATGGACCCCCCAAAAAGGGGGAATTTCCTTTTTTAATACAGAGGGCCCCTCCTGTTTAAAAAAACCATACCACCCGATGGGACCAGTCCTGTTTAAAAACAGATGGCCCCAGCCGTTTAATACAGTTGGACCATTCTTTTTAAATCCCGATGGACCAGTCCTGTTTAAAAAACGGGGGGGACCACCCTTTTAAAAACCCGATGGCCCGTCCTGTTTTAATACAGTTTGGCCTGTCCTTTTTAAAATACGATGGACCATCCTGTTTAAAAAATTTGACCATTCCTGTTTAATACAGAGGGAAACCAGCGCTGTTTAATACAGGGGGACCAGTCCTTTTTTAATTTAACGATGGACCATCCTTTTTAAAATACAGATGGACCATTCCTGTTTAATACAGAGGGACCCCCCTTGTTTAATCCAGAGGGGCCCATCCTGTTTAATACGGGGGGGACCAGCCCCTTTTTTAATACGGGAATGGACCAGCCTTTTTAAACGATGGCCCCGGCCCCTGTTTAATACAATGGCCCCATCCTTTTTATACAGATGGACCAGTCCTGTTTAATACAGTGGCCCAGCCCCTTTTTAAAATACAAAATGGACCGCCCCTTTTTTAATACAATGGACCAGCCCTGTTTAATACAATGGCCCAACCCTTTGTTTAATACGAGGGACCAGCCCCTTTTTAAAACCCAATGGCCCAGCCCTTTTTTAATACCGTTTGGACCATCCTTTTTTTAATACAAGGGCCCAGTCCTTTTTAAAATCCCCGATGGCCCAGCCCTGTTTAAAAAACAGAGGGAAACCTCCTTTTTAATACAATGACCAGTCCTGTTTAATACAGATGGACCAGTCCTGTTTAATACCGATGGACCAGTCCTGTTTAATACAGATGGACCAGTCCTGTTTATTTACAGGGGACCAGCCCCTGTTTTTTACAAAATGGCCCATCCCTGTTTAAAAAAAACCGTGGACCATTTCCGGTTTAATACCGATGGACCAGTCCTTTTTTAATACAATGGACCTTTTTCCTGTTTAAAAACCGGGGCCCAGTCCTTTTAAATACGAGGGGACCAGTCCTTTTTTAATACAATTGGCCCAGCCCTTTTTTTTAATACAGAGGGACCAGTCCTTTTTTAATTTACAGATGCCAGCCCCCTTTTTAAAATCCGATGGCCCAGTCCCTGTTTAATCAGATGCCCCGTCCTTTTTAAAATCAGATGGACCATTTCCTGTTTTTTTAATTTCCCCGATGGACCTTTCCTTTTAAATTTCAGATGGACCATCCTTTTTAATCCCAAGGGAACCAGTCCTTTTTAAATACAGAGGGACCATCCTTTTTTATACAGATGGACCCCCCTTTTTAAATACAGATGGCCCAAATTCCTTTTTAAATACAATGGACCATCCGTTTTAAAATACAGAGGGAAACCACCCCTTTTTAAATTTACAGATGGACCACCTGTTTAATACGATGGACCACCCCTTGTTTAATACGATGGCCCAGTCCTTTTTTAATACCGTTTGACCAGTCCTGTTTAATCCCGTTTGGACCAGTCCTTTTAAATCCCAAGGGAAACCAGCCTTTTTAAAAATAAAATTTGGGACCAGTCCTTTTTAAAATACAGATGGCCCCGTCCTGTTTAAATACAGATGGACCGTCCCTTTTA